ATCCCTAACCCGTCTCTTAAAAAAAAAAAAAAAAAGGGGGGCACCTGGTGGGCTCAGTCGTTAAGCGACTGCCTTCAGCTCAGGTCATGATCCCAGGGTCCTGGGATCGAGTCCCACATCAGGCTCCCCCTGCTCTGCAGAGAGCCTGCTTCTCCCTCTGCCTCTGCCTGCCACTCCCCCTGCTTGTGCCCTCTCTCTCTGTCAAATAAATAAATAAAATCTTTTAAAAAAATAAAATAAAATAAAATTACAAACAACTTGGGGCACCTGGGTGGCTCAGTTGGTTAAGCAACCGAATCTTGATTTTGGCTCAGGTCTTGCTTGATCTCAGGGTCACGAGATGGAGCCCCTCGGCAGGCTCCGCCTCGAACGCGGAGCCTGCTTAAGATTCTCTCTCCCCGCCCCCTTTGCATCCCCTCCCCCCGCACTTGCACTCTCTCTCAAAATAAAATAAAATCTTAAAAAAACCCTGAAAATCACCAACAACTGGACACAGATTAATTATGGTTACCTCACAGAACATGTATGCAGCCATTAAGAATGATGCAAAAGAATATTCGTAAGATGTTCATAATATATAAAAAGTTATGTAACTATGTACAATATGATCTCAATTTTGTACAGCATTTATTTGTAGTTTATTATTTTTGAAGATTTTATTTATTTGAGAGAGAGAGAAAGAGTGGGAGAGATCATGAGCAGGGGGGAAGGGTAAAGGGAGAAGACAACTCCCCACTGAGCAGGGAGCCCGATGCGGGACTTGATCCCAGGACTGTGGGATCATGACCTGAGCTGAAGGCAGACAGACCCTCAACCGACAGCCACCCAGGCGCCCTATAATTTTTTAAAAGCTAAATCTTAAGCAACCAATTCTTTTTGGTATCCTTCACATTTCTACAAATGAATAGGTATTATTTTAAAATCAAAAGTATTAAGACAAAACAACTTTACCTGAAATTTGGAACCTTCTAAAGATTCCAGGCTACAAAAACGTAGCCAATACTGACATGGAAGCAACATCCAGTAGTGGCCTGTAGCAGTGAGAAGTATGGGGCAAGGCCTACAAGGAAGGAAAGAACTCTTTTCCCCCCATCACTTATGAAGTTTAATAAATAAAATGTTACTTACCATTTGGATGGAACATTTTGGATAAAAACCTAACAGTTGGTGGTTTATTTGGATACTCTTCAGAAAATTCTATTACTAGTTTAAAAGTACCTAGATAGAAAACAAACCAAAATAATTATGGTAAAGACAAGCATTATTTTTTAGTATCTTCATCAATGAATTCCCAACCCATAGTGGTTTTTGCACAACCACACAAAAAGTAATGTCAATTATGTCTTAGCACATAAAACGTATTAAATATACTTTGATTTACGTTAGACTGGTAACATACAGCACTGGCAAGCACTTGGGAACACACACTTTCATGTGCTATTGGTGGGAATGTTAAACTGCCATATTTTTGGAAGGCAATTTGGCCCTAGCTTCTGAAATTTAAAATGCACATTTGGGGAACTACAGCTAAGTTTATTATAGCTTAGAAGGGGAATGCCAAAAGATTTTGAGAGGGGCTAACTACCACATGACAAAGGACTTAGATTGGAGGCATGGACATTAATTTGAAAGGTCTCTCTGTTCCCATACAAATCCTTTCACTTAAATATGCCAAGAACCAGTAAGTGTAACTGCCTACTGTTGGTTATAGACCAATGTGGTACACTCCTGTAAAGCAGTATTTTATGGTCAGTACAGACACAGGCTTTTAAAAAAATTATGCATTTCTAAGAAAGTCAATCTGTTCACAGTGTACAAAGTAGGACTCTCAACTCCAATTCCAAATCTATTTTGCAGAAATAACCATTATTACTGGGTTTTGTACTTCTATTCTGTTTATTCACTATCCAGAGTTCTTTTATTTTGAGGAAGTCCACCTGAAGGTTGGAGAGGTATTCTAACTGCAACCCCTTGGACATACTCAGTAAATTGAGACTTATTCTTAAGGAAGTCAATAAAAGTTTAAACCATTCCAGATGTCTCTAGAAGGTTCTTCCCTGATTTCATCAATGCAGTTTTAAAAAACAAAACAAAAATCCTTCTATTTATTTTATCTGATAGTTTATATATTTGGTATACAACCTCTACCTTTTCACATTTTTTGCTGCTTGGAAATTTGGGATTAGGGAAGCCAAAGATACAAGCAAAATCAAATGTGGTATCTATTTCATATTCTGAATACATCAGAGGTGTTATGAAAAGTACAGTTAAATAGTGAAGATACTCTTATATTCTTATATCTAATTATGTATTTTGAAAGTGTGCATTTTAATTTGCTTTAATTTAAAAAAGTACATTGTAAAAATTTCAGCCTACACACATATGAACAGCAATTTTCACGTTTTTTCCTGCCCACTTCATGGAGTCTCAGGACCCCTTTATACTCTTATTCCCAATCATGGCCAAGCTTCCAGTGGGAAGTCAACTGAATGCAAAGATGGGGAGGGATATGTGTGACAACATACCATTTTATATATTTCTACCAAAAATGGAAAATAATTTCATTTTTAAATATTGGCTCTTTAATAATTAGCTTGCAAAAATTCCCCTCAATTTTTAACAATCTGTTCTCATGAATCAGTACAAACTGCCTCCAGCATGCCACTGAATATAACTATCAGTATTTCTTATATTAGACAGTATTTAACTCATGAATTTTTTTTTAAAGTAATTTCTATGCTCAATATGAGATTCTAACTCATGACCCTGAGATCAAGAGTCACACGCTCTACCAACTGAGCCAGGCAGACGCCCCAACCCAGAAAATTTTTAAAAACTCATTCATTAATTACTGTAAACTCACTACACATTAACTTAAGTAACATTTAATGAAAAGTAATATATTTCCCCACAAAGTTAGTGAGAAGCTTAGCACTGTTTTACATTTCTGCAAATCTTTTTAATGACTGGCTTAATAGAAGACAGCTGGATTCTCTCAGCTGCTGCTGCATTCGATCTGTTGCAATATGCTGTTCTGGGATGAGGTACAGGGAAGAAAACAAGGTCTCACAAAAATGTTAAGTGAAAAAGGAACATTTTAATAGTTTTTTCAGATAATTGTAGATACTCTTTTTTGATTACTAGAGTAAGGAAGTGGTAGGTTTTTAAGGATTAGTTGCAATGTAGAGTCTGAAAGCATACTTTTTGCATCACTTACACTAAAATCTGTTACACACTGCATAAATGTTTTATCCGTCCCTAATTTTCTTTTATACACTGGTCGTTCAGAAACTATTGGTTCAATGAATGATGCAATTCTTGTAAATGTTGCCACATTTCATTATATACTATCCAAAAACAAATCACAATTTGGTAATACCACCTACTGATGTTATCAGAAGTCTTAAAGTACTGGGCAACCATTATTTATTTATTTATTTTTAAATTTTATTTATTTGAGAGAGAGAATGAGATAGAGAGAGCATGAGAGGGGGGAGGGTAGCAACAATACTGTTACTTTCCTTGATCTAACAGCTCACTTAAGTCATTTTTGAGTGTATCTGCCAAACAGTCGAATCTAAATTATGTTTGTCTCATTCATTCAAGTAAAAATGTTCCATGAAAAAAAGTTCAAGTTGCAACTCAAACAACTGCAGAAGTGCTTTTCCTCCAGAAAATCATCACAAGTGTTTTATGCATACATTCCACTTAATCACACAGAATATTTTAAAAATGTATACTCAAGGGTCAGAATTCAGTAATAATAGTAACATCTACTTTTTCATCAAGACTTTTTTTTTGGCCATCAAGACAAAAAATTTTTAAGTGAAATTGGCAGCTTTTAAAATGCAAAGAATATGGGGCACCTGGCTGGCTCAGTTGGTGGAGTGTGAGACTCTTTATCTTGGGGTTGTGGGTTCGAGCCCCACACGCTCGGTGTAGAGATTACTTAAAAAAAATCTTAAAAAAAATTTTAATTTCTACATACATACATACATACAATGACTATTAGTACAGTTTAGAGCCACTGTGTTGATTTGTGCCAGGATACTAAACTGCATAGGTCCAGTTTTAGCCACTAATGTTTTTGTACCACCAGTGCAAATGCTGACAGAGTAAAAAGGGCAAATGTCTTAGTATCAGTATAAAGACAGTTTTAATTACAAAGAATCCATGAAACAGGCTTAGGGACTTGAAGAGGGGGCTCATGGACCACCCAAGAACCCCTGGTATAGTGCAAAAAGCTAAAGTCCTTAAGTACTTCTCTTCCATTCCTTACCCTCACCTTAGTAGTAACCACTTTCAACAGTATGGTACACAGCCCTTTAATACACACACTTACATACATGTATTTGGTAAAAATGTAATAACAATATGTATCATTCTGAAACTTTGTCTCTTGAGACTCATGTCCAGATCTACCTTATTCTTTAACAAGTACATGATATTCCACAATCTAATTCCACAAATCATAAATTTGCTTAACCATTTTCCCCTATTAGGCATTCAGGCTATCTCCTTAAAAATAGTACAATCAGTATCTTTGTGTAAATATCTTTGATGGGTTAATTCTGGAGCCATTTTGATAATTAAAAACCTGTTCAACAACTCTTAAATATCTATGCTATTATTAGGGAAAATCTAAGAACCTGGTTAAAATCAATATGAAAAGCTCAATTATAAACATGTATCAGAACCAGTTTTCCATTTTCCTGGCTTTTGGTGAAAAAACTAAATTTAAGACGCAAAAGATTTCACAGAATGCTAACTATTTATGGGTATCAAAAGTAAGCTGTAGTATGTGCAGCTACTGGCAGCTACGTTATGTGGGTTTTTTTTTTAAGATTTTTAAATTTTTTAAAGTAATCTCTGCACCCAATGTGCACCTCAATCTTACAACCCTGAGATTGAGAGTCACATGGTCTACTGACTGAGCAAACCAGATGCCCCAGCTATGTGCGCTGAAGAACAATTTCAGCTCAACACCTTATCACCGTAGATAACAATGTTAAAAGAGCATGATTACTCTCCTTTAACCTACCATCTAGGTCTACAGTTCTACAGCCAAATACCAAAGTAACACAAAGAACTGGCAATGGAGGTGGTCAAGCTGATGTGTGAACTATAAATTCTCAGTAGCATTATTTAATTTGACCTAGTAACAATAGAAAATAGTTTTAAATTAGAAATGTTGGTGTTATAATTTCATACTTAAAAACAGTGTCCCAGTACTACAGAAAACATAATTGAGAATGACTTACCATCTTCAAAGGGTGTCCCTTCTGGTCTGAAAACAAGAAGATTTCTGATTAAAAGATGTTTCATTCTGCCTTTCCCTGATTTTTTTTTTTTTTTTTAAGTAGGCTCCAGGCCCAGTGTGGAACCCAACACAGGGCCCACCCCTAAGATCCTGAGATCCAAGACCTGAGCTGAGATCGAGAATTGGCTGCCCAACTGAGCCACCCAGCTGACCCCGTTTTGACTTTTAAGAGTGGATAGGATAAACTCAGAGAAAGAGGAGCTCATTTTAATGACTTGTGGAATTTTAAAGTTATTATTATCATCTTAGCCCTAGATTTTTATGGATGTAGGCATAAAGGGTAACCATTTTCTAAGTTTTCATTTTAGGGGGGTTTAGAAAAAGATCAAACAAAACAAAAAAAGGCTCATAATTTTAGCACACAAAATTTCAGTTCATAAATACCAACCAGGCATTTTGTAAATGTGTATTCTTAAGAGAAAAAAGTCATATTTTCAATTTATATCAATAAGATGGAAATACCCTTTAAAGATAATTATAACACCAAAGTGTCCTGCTTCCCAACAGAGCAACAGCTCTTGTTCAAAACAGCTAGATAGAACTGACGTAACCAAGAAAGCCACTTTCTTTTGCTCAAATCTTTTCCCTGCCTCCATATCCCAATTTCATCTTTCCTAACCAGCACCATCAAGTTTATTTTTTGCAAGTTAGCTTGAATTTAAGATCTCTTTAGAAGAATAAACTACACTAACTTTTTCACTAGTATTTAACATAGACTCATAACTAATTCAATGGCAACTCAGAATTGTTTATGAAGGTGCTCCTTTGAAGTTTTAGTGCAAAACCCTAGTTTTCAAAAGTGTGAAAGAAAAAAGATCAAGTCCAGAAAAACAGGAGAAAAGGAATAAGGAAATTTTAAATCAAGGCGCCTAGGTGGCTCAGTTGGTCAAGCAGCCAACTCTTTAGGCTCAGGTCATGATCTCAGGGCTGTGAGAACTGAGCCCCCTGTGGGGCTTGGCATTGGCTGTGGAGCCTGCTTGAGATTCTCTCTCTTCCTCTGCCCCTCTGCTCCCATCCCTAACCCGCCCCTTAAAAAAAAAAAAAAAAAGCATACATGCAATATATATAATGTTTAACATTTTTTGTTTATTCTTGCCACATTGGAAGCTCTATTTTTTCTTCTTAGTCTTTTTACAGTTCCAAAAGAATGCAAGCATAAACATTTGCTTGGTACATTTTACTGTAGAAAATAATTTACCTTTTCTTGTTTAGTTTCAAATGATATTTTTAATCAGGTAAAACCCAAAGTGCTTATAAAATCATAGGCAGTAACATCAACACAAATAAATTTTAGTTAATTGCAAAAACACAGAATTTTTAAAAAATTTATTTTGCAGTTTCTGTAAGAGCCCCCAATTCCACTTCAGCCTCTTTGCCTAGTTGATACATTCACTTTTCTTAAAGAATTACCATACCTATCATTTGTTATATCTTTCTACTCACCCAAATATAACTGCATTCCACTGCATAATGTTGTTTTCAGACGGTGCGCCACTGACACCCACAGGTGGGTCCTCTTGCAATCTAGAAATCGAGAGTAGTAATTTTCAAAGTTGAACAATAAGGTCACTACGAAGGCCAAAGAGAACCCTTATGGACTATTCTACCTACTTTGACACAAACTAAATCATTTCCTTGTTCTTGTGCTGAGGTGGAATAAACCATAGGACTAAAAAGGAAAAAAAAATCAACCATGTATATACTTATTAAATACCTCTCCAAATTGTCTAAATTTCTAAAGAGCTTTGGAGTCATCCTTCTTTGAAAATGAAGGTTAAGATGTATCTTCGAGAAGTGATGCATACAGACTGCCATCAACAACAAAAATTAAAAGCCCGAAGTGCAAAAAATATTTTCACAGACCATCTTTTTTGCTGCTGTAAACATGCAAAGACGGTCTATGTGAGTCCAAACCACAGCTACCTGTGTAACATGGCCACCAACCCCCCACAAAGGACCCTCAAGGCAAACACTAAATGACTGAAAACACTGATATTCAATTTAATTAGCAAACTAGTTTTAGGCAGGCGAGTACCTTTATCCCATTTGCTTCAATTAGCAGTAGCTTTAAAGTAATCAAGCCTCAGTTATGTTTTTTCATCAGTCCCTATTTTAAAGATCTGCGCTACAGCTAAATCTACCTCTCCTATCAGGAGACACGATACAAAGCTACCTTCCAACATTTGTCACAATCAGATTCTCGTAACCTTAAGACCCTTGGAAAACTACGAAAGGTGCCATGTGTTCAACTCAGAATTTAACAAGAGATGGGCAGTAAGAAACCAGAGTAACAATGGACACGAACTGGAAGTTTTATTGTTTGGCTTTCACTCATTGGAGCTAACATGAAATTTGATTTTAAGCTTCAGAAGGCAACTTTTGCACCAAATAGAGCATCTCCTTGTAAAGACTGTCATTTCAATAGAAAAATAAATGGGACATTTTATACACAGGTATCTGTATGTAGTGATTGTCCTATAATATGATACTTTGAAATTAGACTACATAAAAATAGTTCTTTTCAGTCAACCTCAAACACATTAAGCCACGATGACCAGAAGCCTTTAAAGAATTATGCTGCTTCTCGCCCACCAAGGGTAAACGGCTACATTACGAATATATTCAATGATTAACCGCCCAAAGCCCAAGACAATGGCTTCCAAATGCTTCACCTATGGCTTTATAATGGCGAAGTTGAAAGGTTACTTCCTAAGCAGCTAACCTAAGTTTTTATACTAGATATTTTGTCTCAATTAGGGCAGATCTCCCCAGAAAAAAAAAAAACACTTAAAAATGTGCAGTGGATCGTAATGCTAAGTTTTCTCATTTTTCCCCCCGTACCTCCAAGTATTCAAAGGTAAACAACTGAAAAAAAAGTCACTTCCTCCTCACTAACCCCAACACCACCTAACAAAACCCTATTTTATAAAAGGAGGCCCAGGGAGTATCAGGTTAGCGCCAGCCTCAAGGAAGGCATTTTTCCAGACTTTGGAGGCTATAGATAGGGTTTTAGACACCAGGCCACAGAGCTGAGCTCCAGAAGGCACTAGCAGCCCGGGCTACCAGCCCGAGTCCCAGGTCTCTAAGCCAGTTCTCAAGGTCCTTTCGGGGGGGGCGAGGGAGAGTCGGGTTTCGGAGGATGGGTTAACAACCTCCCGACCTCACGCTGCAGACCCCACCCTCACTGCAGAAAGAATGGGGGGGGGGCGCTTTTCGCCCCAACCCTGCCCCTCAGCGAAGACCGCAGGGCCATCCAGGAAAACTGGTGCACCAACAGGGAAAAAGATTCTGCAAGGGTTTGCTTCTGGGGGACAGGGACCGGGCACGACAGGGTGAAGGGGCGGAGGGATGAGGCTTGAGCTCTAGGGCCAAACGTCGGGCAGCTGACCCAAGAGGGCAGCGGGTAATCCTAGGACAGACCATAGCCATCTTTTTACTTTTGGGGGAGGGGGGTATCGAAATTTCTTACGTCGGAAGAGCAAGCAAGGATGAAGGAGTGCGAACCGGGGCTAGGACTGGGCTTCGGTCGGTACCGCTGGGCCCACAGTCGGCCCTCTTAGGGTTATGAGAGGAAGGTGTCCCGGATCCCCGCCCTGCAGCCCCACAGCTATGGGGAGGAGCCGTCATCCAGGCGAAGGTGAGGGCCCTTACCGCTTGAAATCCCGCATGAGCCTCCTCCGGGCCGGAGTCGACATGCTCCTCAGCTGCCCCGCGGTCAGTCTGAAAGAAAAGAGTCCCGCGCAGCCCCCCCACCCCCCGGCACAGCGGCCGAATCACTGTTGGTCACCGCCGCCGCCGAGGCTGCACAAACAACCCTGCAATGACGTCTCCCTCCGCCGCCTCCAGATCCCTCCGCCCTCCGCCAGTACCACAGACTGAGGGGTAGCGGAGAAGGGCACGGGGCGTATGAAAGCTCGTTATGGGAGCTTTTGAGCAGGGTTCTATCCTTTTGGCTTCCTAATCTAATCGATAAGTTAGTGTTCTCTGTTCTCGGTCTGGAGATTGTGGATTAAGAGACCCCGAAACCGAAACACCATCCTGTGTCTCCCCCTTTCAGTAGTTTAAACTCGACCGGGTGGGGACAGAGAGGCTCATCCGGGGCCACAGATTTCAGGGGAAGGAGGTGGGATGACGTAAGATCACGTGACTGCCGGCGGCGTTGTCAACAATCCACCCCTGAGGGGGAGGGGACGAAGTATCTAGAACCACGTGTCCCTATGACGAGGTTAGAACAGATCACGTGGGAGCGTCGCCTGAATCTCAGTCAGGTCTATGGAGCAAGTGATCAAATCTATGGGGCTGAGGGCGGGGAGAGGCCTTTACTAGTTTTCCCTCCAGTTTGCTTCATGAACAGGGTCGGCGATCGTGGCAGAAGCAAAAGCTTGCTTTGCTTCTTTAAAACAGAGACAAAGGGGCGCCTGGGTGGCTCAGTCGGTTAAGCGTCTGCCTTCGGCTCAGGTCATGATCCCAGGGTCCTGGGATCAAGCCTCACATCGGGCTCCCTGCCCAGTGGGAAGCCTGCTTCTCCCTCTCCCACTCTCCCTGCTTGTGTTCCCTCTCTCACTGTGTCTCTCTTTGTCAAATAAATAAACAAAATCTTTAAAAAAAAAAAAGTAAATAAAAAATAAAACAGAGCCAAAAATAATATAGATTTAAAATCCTTTCTGGTTGGTACAATGACTTACCAAATCTGGTACGTGGGGCAGAGGGAACTTCCATTTTTTAATGAGTGCAGCATTGAAATACTAAGGCCCACACTAAGTAAAATTCCCTGAAATGCTTCCATAAGGCCACCAAATAGCCTGTGTATGCACTACACTGGGGTTTCCACCATTGGAAATTCTGAGGACAAAAAAGAATGTAGAGATGGTCTTAAGGTTTGTTGACTATCTCTATGGAATTACGGAATCTTATTTTAACATAGGTCTGCTCTCATTTGAGGATTGGTGTCAAAGTCAATGGATTTGGCTAAGATGGGGGTACATGGAGATGAAATCTCAAAGCATTTAGAAGGGTGGTTGGTTGTCAAGAAGACTTACAAATCTGACTCTGATGTGGGGAAGAGATTTTGCAGACTTGGGTGGGGGTTATATAGCTAACCTGGATAACTCATTTCAGGTTTTCTACACTACTAAGTAAGGTGCAGATGGGCCTGAAATGTCGCCCACCAGGGAGCTCAGAGGTGTTGATGCAATCCGTGGGGATTCTGACATTTCCTTGAGTTCTCTCCTTCCATTGCCTTTGATTCCTGGGCTTGGGGCTTTAATGGTTTGGAGGACTCTGAGCGCTTTATATCCTTCTGGGTAATTCTTCAGCCCAAGGTGAAATGGGACCATTGCGCCAAGTTGCCCATAGTTTCATGGAAACTGAAAGTGTTAATTTCCCCCACTTTCTTGCTACCTCCTTTTTCTGAAACCTTGAATTCTGTCTTTTGCTTTTATAACTGCCTTGGTGATCAAATTAGCCAAGCCTCTTTTTTTTTTTTTTAAAGATTTTATTTATTTATTTGAGAGAGAGTGAGAGAGAGAAAGAGCACAAGAGGGGGGAGCGGGAGAGGGAGAAGCAGACTCCCCGCTGAGCAGGGAGCCCGATGCGGGACTCGATCCCAGGACTCCAGGATCATGACCTGAGC